CCACAGCCATGGAGAGTGATGCCCTTCTCAGGTACCAGGTTGTATCGATTTAGGGAATTCCCAGCAAAATCTATGGGATGCTGAAGCTGCAGCAACCCTGGCTGCACTGTGTGCAGGGAAAAGGGCTGGTTTAGTGTTTGCTGTACACGTGCTATAGGGTTGTGCAGGTTCATGCACCAGCCCAGAGCACCCATGGAGCACAAAGAGCTGATCCAGAGCAAGCAGGTTGCGTTTTGTGTTGTCTCTCACACTTGGGCTTGGCTGTTCCGGCTTTCCAGGGGTTGCTGTAGCCCAGGTGTGAATCATGGGAGAGACACGTGCAAACAGAGGAGATGGGAGGCTGGAAACTGCTGGGGAGACTTCAGTTTGTAAGTACCAGATCCTGGTTGTGCACGGCCCAGTGTGTCACAAAAGGCTGGGAAGTGCCCAGGTGTGCAGGGATGCTCTGCAGCACAGGGAGAAGAGCAGACAATGGCTGACCACCAGGAGAAAATACAGGTTTCTCCAACACCTCAAACTGGAGGCAAGTGGATCTAATCCTGCTTTGCTCTCAGAGCCACTTTTATTTTAGCATTTGTGTCCCTGGGACTGTTCACATCAGTGTTTTTATTGTGGGATGCCATTTATCCAGCTTGGAAACGGTATCTCTGAGTTCCTCACTTGCAAGGTGTCCTCCAGCCCAGCTGGGTCAGTTTGTTTTTTCAAATATGAGAGTTTATTTTGTGCGTTTTCCGGTTGCTCAGAGATACCACCAGTTTGTCTCTGGCTTTGGGGCCAAGTTTCTGCCCACCCAGAGGCTGGGGATGTTTGGGGTGAGGATTTTGCCCTTCATGAGTTTAGGGGTGAACCAGAAGATTACTGCCTGTAATTCCAGGCTGTGAAACCATCTTCCTCTGGAAAGGGGGTGTGCAGAGGTCTCTGTCCAGAATTATGGCTGTTGTGCAGAGCTCCTGCCTGGAAGCTAATCTCCCATTTGTTCTGGGAATTGCACATCCTTGCTGGGGCTCCATCCTGGCTGGGAGCCCTCAGCTCACTCCAGCTCTCAGCCACACTCCTGGAGCTCCAGGAGCTGGGAAGTCCCTCCTATGCAAAGTGTTCTCCAGTCCACCTGGGTCAGTTTGTTTTTCCAAAAATGAGAAAGTTTATTTTAGAGTTTTCTAGATGCTCAGAGATACCATCAGCAATAAACAATGCTGGAGGAAGTAGAAGAGCAGTAAGCACGATAATTTATTTTCTATTTGGCTTCAGTTTATTTTAAAATCTGTAATTCCTAGAAGAAAGTGTTGGTAGTAAGGAAGAAAAACAGTGGATTTCTTATCATGGTGCTGTTTTCCTCTTCGTGGTTTTTGGTTTCCGATTCTTTTCAAAAACCCCATTTCTTTACTCAGACATGTTCCTTCCAAACTGACCAGTGAATGTGAGGAACCCACCACGAGCCTTGATTATTTTATTATATTTTTATTTTCTTTCTTGTTCCCATGAAGTGCAGAACTTGGTGCCTTTTTAAATCTGCTACTCAGCCTCTGAAATCATGTGCACAGCCCTCGTGCTCCCTTTCTGGTGCTGTTGATTTGCAGCGATGATCTCGCTGGTCGGCAGATGATCAGCTGGGTGGTTGGATTTAGCTCAGGTCTAAAAATACAAGGAAAACTGGAATGCCAGGAATGTGAAGGGCATCCCTGACTTGTCATGGCAAAACCACCAGAAATTTCCCCACTAACCCTCTGCAGGTCTCGTGCAGAGAAATTCTGTCTGTGCATCACCTGCATTACACAGCTTTATGTTCCTGTTTATATTCCTGGCATCTTATTGTCAGTGGGATGTTATATTTAGCTTTTATGGTAATTTTGTGTGCCGAAAGCAGATTTCTAGGAGGAAATTGCATGGAGAAATGGGTGAAGAAGTAATAATAATAATAGTAATAATCTGCTGTTAAATCCCACAGCCCTCTCTCTCCAGGAAGAAAAACGCTCAGATAAGAGCACAGTTTTCCAAACAGCCTGTTCAAATGACTTGTAGAGGGAGTTTTGACAAGGGCATGTAGTGACAGGACAAGAGGGAATGGCTTTAAACTGGCAGAGGGCAGGCTTAGATTAGATACTAGGAAGAAATTCTCCCCTGTGACGGTGGGGAGGCCCTGGCACAGGTTGCCCAGAGAAGCTGTGGCTGCCCCATCCCTGGAAGTGTCCAAGGCCAGGTTGGACGGGGCTGGGAGCAACCTGGGCTAGTGGAAGGTGTCCCTGTTCATCCCTTCCAGGATGCAGCAGCCTCAGTTCTACTGGATTTTCAGTTTTAAGCAGACAAAGATCTGAGCTTATGAAATAATCAGCATAAATCTGAAAAGAACCGATAACCCCCAGCAGGAAATCTTTTTTGGTTGTACCATCTGCCTTGGGGAAACAAGGAGTCTGCATTTCCAGGCTGCTATGAGAGAAAGGGGAATTATATTTCCAATTAGTCTCATAGAATCACAGAATGGTTTGGGTTGGAAGTGACCTTAAAATTCATCTCATTCCACCCCTCTACCACAGGCTGGGACGCTCCAAGGTTGCTCCAGGCTCTATCCGACCTGGCCTTGGACACTTGCAGGGATGGGGCAGCCACAGCTTCCCTGGGTAACCTGTGCCAGGGCCTCACCACCTGGAATATCTGTATTAGTATGTCCTGGTACTCCAGAAGCAAGGAAAAGTCTCAGATGAGATCAGGGACCCTCGTGCCAGCTGCTGTGTGGGTGTGGAACAGCCTGGACCCACCCCCGGTCTGATCGAACACGAGAGGCGGGAGTGGCAGAAATTATTCCTGGGTTTGTCTGCAAATAAGAAGCTGCTCTACAGGGAAAATGAGACACAGTTTAGCAAACACTTAAGGATTGACTTACTTTTAAGAATGTTGTTTAATCCTGTTGAAATTGAGAGGATTACTTATCCTTAAATGAATGCTTAAGCACTTCCCGTGTTGGAGCACGGGATCTGTGAGGAGCTGGGCTTGCACTTGGCTTTTCTTGCTCTTGGCTACTGCCTTAGCAGGAGTAGTTGTTGGAAAAATGTTCCCTGATATTGGGGCAGTCACTGTTCAATCCTCCAGAGGTGCCAAGCTCCATGGAGGCTCTCTGTACCTGATCCCTCAATTACGTGCCTGAGCATCAATTTTGGGAGCCTTGGTGTCAGCAAGTGTGTCTGAGCATCCTAGCTCGTCACTGGAACCAGGTCCTGGGCTTTGATGTGCCAGGATGTTCAGAGCTTGGGGCTCTTCATAAAAGAACAAAGGAAAACTTGTTGGTGAGGAGAACACTGAGCTTTTTCTCTTAAGTTTCCCTGGAAGTCAAACCCTGCGGTATAACTGTCTGATTCATAAACTGATTTTTTTACTTCAGAAGTCTAATAATAGGCTGCAGAAGAGATTCATTCAGTCAGTCTGGAACTTCCCTTGGACTATATTAAGCCCTGTGGAGCGTGACTGTGGGTGCCAGAGGGGTCTCTAGTCACTGTCCCCTGTCTGGTCTTGGTGTTTGCAGGTTCCACTTGCTGGCAGTTCTGTGCCATGGCTCTGCCCTGACAAGCCCTGGAGCCTTTCAGGAATGTTCTGTTCCCTTTTCCCCATGTGAAAATCACCTGCTAAACACCAAACCGTGGCAGCTTCTTGGTTGTTGCCCTGGCTTAGGGTCCACGTATGGGGCAACCAGACTGGAATTCATGGCAGTGGTAAAAGAAATGAAAAATTAAAGGGATGAAGTTTGCAAGGATCTGCTGCAGCAGGATGAGCTCAGGCTCCTCAGTCCCGAGGAGTCACCTGTGTGCTCCTCACAAACCTGGTGCTTGCATGGCTTTGCCAGCAGAGAGGATTTACATGAGGGTGTGTGATGAGACAGTGATTGATGCTCTGGGATAATAATGTGGGAGGGAGAGAGGCTTTGAGTACCACCAGCATCCCAGGAGAGAATCCAGTGCTCCCCGGGTGACGGGTGTGGAGATGACTTAGCAAACCAGGGGAGCATCCCCTCGGCAGGATGGGGGGACACAGTCCCTAAATAAAGCATCCCTGGGGGGACCTCAAAGCTGGGTTGGGCTCAGGGCAGCTCCAGTCAGCAAGAGCCCCCAGGATGTTTGGGTTTGTACACCTGGAGGAGAGGTGGGAGCTGGGGGTCCTTGAGCAGGGACCGCTCAAGAAGCCCTTTATCTGTGTCCCAGGCACAGGCATCTCTATTCATCTCTATTCATCCCAGTGGGCTGGAAACCAGTCCAAAAATAATAGGTTTGTTTTTATAATCTAGCTTTGAAATGATGGATATGAGCAAGAGTAAAAACATGGTTTATATTTACGAGGGGCTAAGCCCATTCTTTGTTCCTCTTCATTGAAAATTCTTCACAGCAATTAAAACTTCCATCAAAAATGGGAGTTTTCAGAAAAAGCTGGTGGTTTTACTGCTTCTTATTGCAATGCTGATGAAAACATTTCCTTGTTGAATCACTTCTGGCTGTTTTCTGCCAGAAAAGGGCGACGGTCTGCACTCACCTCTGACAAACCGATGATGCATCTTTATTGAATTGCAAGAAGTCAAAACCATTCAGTCTTGGCAAGTCTGCCTCAATAAGATCATTTTTGTGTGGGGAGAGACATGAAAGGAGTTATAATCCTTCTGTAACGAAATACAAAGTAAAGAGGGTTTTTTCAACGGCTCTCAGTGTTGCATAAAACCCATCAGGGCAGGTCTGGACATATTAAATGAGTTCTGGGATGGAGTTCTCTCAGATGATGCTCTTGAATGAGTATCTTTATAGCTGAGGGTTAAATGTCTTCTGTGCTCAGTGGTAGAACCAAAAGCAGTGTTGGCACTGACAGTGTCCTCCCAGCCCTGATGGTGACACTGGGACACCGATGGGGGGGGGCTGGAGCCCATCCATTTCATTGACCCCAGGTCCAAACATCAGGCTGTGTGGGTCCTCACCAAACCTTCCTCTGTCCTCAGTAAGCACACCAGCATCTTTTTCTCTCATTTCCAGGTGATCTCTGCTGTATCCAGGCTCTCCTTCCACAGTATTGCTCAAACCAAAGGAATTAGGTAAGATCCTTTCAATATGATGCTTTAAATAACATTTCTCTCTCTCCCTATTCCTATTTAATCACGTCAGGCTCCTTAGAAGCTACACTTAGTAGGGTTAAACAGACATCAAGGGTGCCTTTGGGATGTAGGCTGGGTACTTGTAAAAGCAGCTTACGGGATGCTTGGGAATAGTTTCAGATAAAATAAGTGAAAATGTGATGAATTTTTGCACTATTCCTGCTGGGGAGGGCAGCAGGGTGGGATTTAGAGTGTCTCTTGCTGAGGGTTTTGCTCAGGTTCACTGCACAGCTGAGGGATCCCAGGAAAGCCAGCAGTGCCCATCAGCTGTGGTATCACCACCCCTTGTCCCCACTGTCACCTGCTCCTGTGCAGAAGAGCTCAGGTGGCTTTTCTGTCCCTAACAGCTGGGAAATTCTCTCCTGGCTTTATCAAACATCACTGCTGAGTGGGTGAGGGGGGTGTGAGTCCCCTGCCCTGGCACCTGGGGTGGTCTGGCTGCTCCTCCTCTGCTCATTGAAGGAGCAATGGAGAAGGAATTTAAAAGAGCAGACAGCCCTATTAACCAGAGCTGTTATCCTGCTCTTTGTTCAGCTCCCTGCAAAATTGGTTTGCAATTGGTTTTCTTGTTAGTGTGCATTTGTATTATTAATCTGGCAACATCTCATTAGGACACAGCTATAACTGGGATGAGTTCTCAGCCTAAAGTACCTTCCCTCCTTTTCTGGGGGAGAGTGTGTGTGTGTTTTTATCCCCAGCTATAGAAGACATTTGCTCTTCTCCACAGCATGTGTCTTGCTGCTATTCTGGTTGGGGGTGGCATGGCACAGTCTGCAGTGCATCCCGGGGCCAGGCACAGCCAGGATGCAGGGAATGCAGCCTGGATGGGGTCCCTGCTTCACTCCCAGCCCTGCCACCCATGCCCACCACCCCCTGCCGTGATTTCCACGGTTAGAACATATTTTCCCTGCCTTAACTGCACTGATATTGCCAGAGGGGGAACGGCTTTTCACGTGTAAAGCCGACTCGGTGCTTTCCCATCTGCTGAACACAAACCTGGCAGATCCCAGCAGGACTGGGGGGAGATTCAAGGGGTGAGGGTTTGAGGAATAAAGATGTGCTGTAAGTTAAGGACTACATTCCCTTAGTCTTGGAGAAGCCTGCAGTGATTATTGTTTTAAGGGAAAAGAACATCCAAGGCGTTGGGAGGCAGGGAGCAACGGGGAACCCTCGTGCACAATCTGCTGTGCCTTGGCAAGGGCTGGATTTGAGTGCTGGGGCATCACTGGAAGGGGTTGCAGAGTGTCATCCCTGGAAAAGCCCTTCCCTAGGAAGGGAGGGAGGTCCTGGAGTCAGCTCAGAGGATGAATGAGCTGTGTTCTGTGGGAAGGCTTTTGCTGAGTCCCTGTTGGTTCTGTTGAGGGCTGGGCAAAAGCTGGGATCCAGGGACAAGGGAGGCTTTGCTATTCTGGTGGATGTGTGGCTTCTTCTCATTCATTTTACAACCAGCATTTACGGTTCCCACTAAAATCCTTTATCTTGGAAGCCTTTGGCACCGTAATTACACAAGAATAGCACAGAGCTTAGAGAGCCTTTGCTTCTAACTCTGTTTTCTTGCATATTAACCCTGCTTCTCCTCCCCAGTGCCAGCTCTGCAGGAACAGAAAATGCTGTCACTCCATTAGCTGGAAAATCGACTAGACTAGACTGGGCTAGAATTGAATTCTATAATTCTACAAAAATACCCTTGTGGGGTGTCCCCTCCCACCCCACTGTCCCCTGCAGTCCGAGAGCCCTCGCTTTGTCCGTCGCTGCATGTCATTTCCTTTAAATTAGATGATTTCTTGCTACACCATCACAAACCCCTCAGTGATAGAAACTAATCTCAGATGAATTAATCTAATCTTGTGGGAATCAGCAGCAGCTCTGGCTCCCTGAAGGGGCTGCTCACATCAGCCACTGCTGCCCCTCAGCTCATTGGGGTCCCTGCTGATGATTGGGGTCTGTACTCTTCCCTCTCACAGTGAAGATGCTGCCATTGAAAGAAATGGGAAAAGTCTTGTTGGCTTAGGCACTGTGCTCAAAAACATGGTAAATTCAGTGAAATTAGGAGGGTGTGTAGATTGTGTGATCACAGTCTCATAGCATCAATGTGGCTCTGCTCCAGCCCCTATTTTAGGGTCTAACAGCCAGGATCACGCAAATTGAGAGTGAAAGAAATCCTAAAGCCTATTACTTATCCTTAAATAAGTTTCATGGCATGTAGAAAAATAAAAATCAATCTTGTATGCTACTCAGTGAAACAAAATTAGTCTTTCTCCCTTAATAATTTCTAGCTACATGAGCCTTGCCAGAAAAATCCTGTTTCATGGAGTACACCAGATAGCTATCAGGATAGCTCTGTGGAGATGACAGAGTGTTTCTTCCAAGAAACAAGCTACAAGCAGCAAAACATGGCAAAAAAATGTTGAATGCAATGTGTTTTTTGCAGTGCCCTGTTAAGGCTGTGCTTAATCTACAGCAGCTGTAGCTACAGCCCCTGCCCTGTCCCCAATCCCTGGGGCTGCTTCCACCCTCCAGCATCACCCTCCAGCGTGGGGCATCCCTGACTCACCTCCTGGCAGGGGATGGGCTCGAATGATGCACTAAGAGATTTGTGCAAACAGCCCAGATGGTTTTTCCTCGCTGATTAAAGAAGTGGTTCATTGCAGGGACCCCACCGCTGCGCTGGGTGATTTTTGGGGTGGTACCCATAACATCCTCTTGGTGATAAAAGACTCATTGGTGCCTCCCTAGGAAAAGGCACATCTTCTCTCTTTAATTTAAGATATTCAGATGAAAGATGGTTTTATGGATAAAGACATGCACTGAAGGGAATGCAGTTGTGTGGAACTACTTTTGGATGCTGGCTCTGCTCTGGGTGCTGTACAACTCCCTGGGCAACTCCCTTAGTTTTTGATGTTTGATTTTTTCCCCTCTCAGAAATGGGGAGGTGAGAAATGTCTTTGTTCACCTGGCTAATGGGACTGACCCCTTCCTGCTCACCTTGGCACATGCAGCCCTCTGGATCTCATCTGGGAGCACAGGCTCTGTGGTGAAGGGATAGGAACTTTCTCCTGGAATTTTCATCCCTCTGTTGTCTTACAGGGCTGTGCCTGGGGACAAAGAACAGACCCTCGTGTAGCACTGCCCATCAACTGGGGAGAGGAGATTTTTTGAATTTATTATTGTTTCACATCCTTTCCCCCATCTATCTGGAGGACTGTCAGCAGTTTCAGGGAGAAGTTACCAGTGTGCCCATCCTTGGCTATCCCTGAACAAGGAGCCTTTGTTTTACAGCCAGGATTTTCCACTGCAGACCCGACTGGCACCCATTAATTCCATTACCCCATTCCCACAGTGACTGGCACTAAATGCTTCCAAGCCAGCCTGGAGGATTTTGTAGCAGCATGGTCATACAGGGATGTTGGGTGAATCTTCTCCTGTGCTTTGGAGCACGAGTTTTCATTCCCTTTCCAAGTTTTCTCTAGCAAAGTCAGCTCTCTGGAGGACAGCAAGACTTCTTGTTGCAAGTCCCAATAAACCAGGATTATTCATATTTTCTTAGAGCTTTTTATATTCTTTTTCTTTCAGGCTTTCCTGCCACAGCCATGACTGTTCTCCTTTGCCTGTGGCACATCCTGATGTCCTCTGGGCTCTGACCATCATCCACCTGGTGCTGGCAGGCTCCAGGGGCTGGATGTGAGCTCTGAGCAGAGGGGACATGTGTTTATTCATCTCCCTGAGATATATGTTTTTTCTGGAAGCAGAGTTTTGCAAGCAAAGCAGGAGGTTAAGGAATACTGGCTCATGCTGCCTGCATGCATTTTTAATGTTTGCACAGCTAGGCCAGCTGAGAATGGGAAGGAGTTTCCATGTTCAAAGGCCTCTATGGGGGCCCTTAATCTAAGTAAATCCTTTATATATGAACTGAACCTTTTGGTGACTCTCTTCAAAGGGCACTACAGTTAATAAAATAGATTTAAAAACATTTGCAAATGAGGGGAGGAGGGTGAATTCTGATTGCCAGGGGAGGTTTCCTCTCGTGGGAGTTGTGACAATGCCAGGCTGTGGAGGGAGGGAGACTGGGATGGTTGGGTTTTCCCCATCCTGGGGGCCAAGGCAGGACCTCTTTGGGAAGAATGAGTGATCAGCTGAGATCCAGTGCTGAGTGGGTGTCAGGCCCAGGCTGCCTCTGTTTTTTTGGAACAGGTTGCCCAGAGAAGCTGTGGATGCTCCATCCCTGGAAGTGTTCAAGCCAGGCTGGATGGGGCTCTGAGCAACCTGGTCTAGTGGAAGATGTCCCTGTCCGTGGCAGGGGGTTTGGAATGAGATGATCTTTAAGGTGCCTTCTAAACCAAACCATTCCATGATTGTATGATTATGCCCAGCTCTAAGTGCAGACAGTGTGATGAGAGCTCAGCACTGGGATTAGCTCAGGTCGGTGCTGCCTCCAGGCACATTTAAGGCAACTAAATGGGCTGTACCAGCATCCTCCCACCAGTGAGGATTTAATCCAGAGGAGATTTCCCTACCACCCTGCTTTTCGTGGAGCCCCCCTGCCTTGCTGACAGGGTTCATCATTGCTCCCTTTTGCCCAGGTAAACCATTAAAACAGACTGACGTGCCCAAAATGAGGTTTGCAGCGTTATCAGCACTGGAGTTTCTGTACTTAACAGCTTGCCAACAATATCAGGATGTGTGTGGGGGTGAAAGGGAGGGGGGATGGGAAGGGAGAGTCAGAGCAACATTCCTGGCATGCGGTGCCCAGCACAAGCCCTGGGACAGGGCTGATCAAGGTGTTCCCCTTGCTGTCCTGAGGGAGAGAAGGGAGACAGGGGGAAATCTTTTATGGGATGTGCAAAGATTCTCCAGCATGCTGGAGGCTTCCTGCAGATCAGGGTTGGTCTCTGCTCCCCCTGTCCCTGGGGATGGGAGCTCAGCACGGAAGGCAGATCCAT